ACAAGACACATCAGCAATCACTTGTGACATCTGCTAGGTATGGTATTATTTTTAAGAAAATGAACAAAACCTTTACTTTAGTGGCCTTACTTTTGTTATTGAAGGATCTGGGGGCTCTGTTTAGTTTCCCTGTAATTGTGCAAGAACCAGAGTGTCCTGAAAAGCCATTTTCTTATTGATCAGGCATCTCTGCAATGGCATATTTTAAATAAATTTATTGATTCTCCTGCATATTTGCAACTAGGAAGAGTCTGATGGTGGATTTTTTTCAGATCTTGTTGAATTGAATTGTCAGGATTTGAAAAAAAAAGTTGAAAGAGCTCATTTTAATTTTATGCTGCCGTTAGTTTTTCATTAACATATCATTTGTCGCTTATGTTTTTATCTGTAAAAAATTTATGCAAATTGGCTTCTTTCATAATTCCAAATGACCAAAAACATGCACACCTCTAACACTCTTCCATTAGCCTTTCTTTCAACAGGTTATATTAGACACTGAAGAATGTAATTTGCTTGTGTATCCTTCTAAGCATAAATAATCTAGAAACATGGGTGCTTTGGTTTGACTGCCTTATTGATCTTGTGAGTGATATTGAAAATGACAAGCCAGTTTTAACTGCATGTCACTGAAATTCAGACTGCCTTTTTTAGTGCCTGGAAAGACATACATTCTTACTCCTGTAATGTGTTAAATGTCTGTTAAATTGCTTTTTATTTATATCACTTGTATGACAATGCTGGTTGGTTTTTTCTACAGGCCTTAGAGCAGCATATCCCAAACTTTTCTTGCACTGCATCTTATAAGGTGGGTCATATTTGATCCAGTTTTTTGAGTAGGATTCAGACAACAGCTACAGTAGAGAGAAATATGGAGGTCACAGGTGTCATTTAATATGAATCCTATAGGATGTGTTGGACAGACTTGATAGCAATGAACTCTTCTGTTCTTTAACATCTATGAAGAACCAGGAAATCTGCCACCTTACGACCATCAGCTTGGCACAGATCAGCACTGCAGACCATGAGCTGAGAAATTCTTGGAAATAAGAAACAAACCTCAAAATTACTCTCCCTGTACAGACCATACCTTACTCTGTGAATCTAGATTATTTTTTTATACAGCTCAAGATAAGCATTATCCAGAACTGAAGGTAAGACAGGATAAACAGAAATCTGCCATCAGGAGAAATCTCACCCATATTTTGAAGGCAGTGTTGTTAGCTAGCAGTATTAGTCATCTCTGGACTTCATTTTATTGCTTTTTCTGTTAGCACAGGGGTGATGTGCTACCCACGAGTGTTTAGAAGACCACCCCATGGTCAGAGTTGGAATATGCAGTCTATCACTTGCCAATCTACCTCTGTCATGTATTGTACAATGCCTGTGCCCTTAATTATATTTGCCTGAATGTGTGGACCTTAGAGCAGCCTGACTTTAGACCATGCAGCCCCTGAGGGTGGCAACAGTATTGTATTGATTCATGGCTGACTCTGTTCTCTCCCTGTAAACGTCCTGACTTGTTTGGTGTCTGTCACTTACAGCTTGTGCTCAGTCTGTTGTTCATCTGTGTAAGCCTGGCTGCTTCACAAAGAGATATGAGTAGGAGGACTTTAATTTAGACAGGTGTAGTGAAATCTTTTGGGAGAGATGTGATGGAAAACACTGGGGTTTAATTAGTTTTAATTCTCTTCTAATCCAGTTTTGTGCCATGTTCATCCCTGGGGCTGTCTTATTTGGCTGAAACTAAATTGTATGGTTTGAAATGCAGTTGATTCTTTTGGCTGAAGCAGATTTGCTTCCAACACCTGATTTGGAGCAGCTGAATGTCTTTTTCAGCAAACTATTCAGCAAAGAAAATCATCCCAATACCACCAGTGTTTCTCACAGTCACTACCAATGTGTTTAATCTGCATTCAAGAATTTAAGTAATACCTTTTTTTTTTTCAGGCCCGTTTCTCTCTGCAATTATAGCATTTGATAGCAGGTGGTAAAACAATTCAATACAGCACTGCTCAGTCAGAGATGAGCTGTAACAAAGCAGAAATGCTGTTTTCTTTAGCAGACATCAGAATTCAGGAACACATATTCATTTTGATGGAATGTATGCCCCATAATTTGAATTAACATGTTCAGGTGAAACTGTTGGTTTACTTTAAACCCCATCTGTACTTTGTAAGTAGGCAGTGGAAGGCTTTAACTGCACAGTGCTGTTTGGCTGTGAGACTTTACCATGAAGAGGGAGAAATGATGGAGTCTTTATTACCCTTGAGCAGAGAAAAGCCAGAAGGAGATTAAGAAATCTTACATGAAAAGAGAATAACAAAAGATTAAGCACAGAATCCCTTAGTATTACGTCAACCACCCTCCTGGTATCTGCACTTTAGATACTTGAATGTTTTGCTATTTATACATTTAACTTTCCATGTTGACTTTGCACTCTTCACTGTAGAAGTGATGTAGTCTCTGTTACATTCAGTTCATTGTAGATTACTTAGTGGCTGTTTTATGAGGATGGAACATGACACGGATTGTTTTGAACAAGAATGAATACATTTCTTATCCGTCTGGAACGTCCTCTGCCAGCTTTGTTTGAGAGTCCATAACGTAACTGCAGAGAACATCCTGTATAGCTATTAAGGTTGGTTTTGAGTTTCTTTGTTCAGTTTCTCACACAAGACTGCCTACAGATGCCAAGTGCCTGATCTCTCTGTCAAAAGGCTTTTCTGAGAGCTGGGGCTGTTTTCTGCTGGGGTCTGTAAGACAAGGTCTTTGGTAGGTGGGGGTCAATTTGTTTATTTGTTAAAAATCCTCCTCCTGCATCACTATTTTTAGTGGCTTTCCAGTCAGTTATCCATTACATGGCTGCCTCTGTTTGGCTTAAGCTTCAGCCTGACTTACCCACATCCCTGATGCTGTTTTGTCTTTCCAGGCTTTGCAAGCTGGTTGAGGGATTTCGCTCTGCGGCTGGTGTTTCTTTTGGGATGTGTAGTTCAGTGCCAGGCAGTGTGAGGGCGCAGCAGTCAAGCGAGCACTTTAGGCAGAGTCCTGTTTCTGGAGCTCCTAGTCAGATGCTCCAAACAGGATTGGGGATGTGGGGATTCACACATACAATTTTGGGGGCAGGTTTGATGCCTGAACGTCTTACTGTACTTTAGAATGCCTCCATTTTACTTGTTGAAAGTATTTAGGTATGATTAAGTGTATAATTGTAGATTTAAGAAGCAAGTTCAGAGTACAGCTAATGCAAGACCCTAAACCAGTGCCTGCAAATTTTTTTGCACATATTTCACACAAGTTCAATCTGCCTGATGTTTTAGAGCAGATTGTTAAGACTTTTTTTAAAATGCAAATATAAAGAATCCCTTGATTATTTTCCCACAGGAATAGCTCTAAGCACAATCTCAGATTCATCCTGCTTCCCCCAAAGCTCTGGAACATATATATGTTTTTCCAAAGACAGTGTTGGGTAGAATGGGATTTCG